GTCCCGCTGGCGTCCGCCTGCCGCGCTCGCGTCCCCCGCCGTCCGCCGCCGCCGTTCCGGCGCCTGCTACCCAAACCGGGTCGGGTTGTGTCAACCCGGCAACCCGCCGGGTCGGGTCCGGGTTCGGTTTTCCGACCGTTTGTCTACCCGGTCGGGTTAGGGTTGACCCGTTTGAACCCGGGTCAGTTCCGGGTTCGACCCGAACCCGACCCGTGACCCGAAATTGACACCCCTGATCGGAAGAGTTCAACATGTTTTGATGTATTAGTTAAAAAAATTAAAAATTTTGTACTAAAAATTTGTCCCGTTCCAAATAAAACATAGATGGTATGTAACTATGTATACCAGTCCCTAAATTGAATCCAACAAAGAAAGCAATATTGTCGGTACTTATTGCAAAAAAAAATAAAAAAATTGTGACATTGATAGTAAATATAGTTCCTTAAATCACGCAATAGATGATTATTAAATTTCTTTTTAGTTTGTATGCCGCTATTATAGTTTTTGTTTTTGGAAATAGAAAGAGTTTTCCTTTATATATAACTACACTAATAATATTTTACTTAAACAAATTAAAAAAACTGAAGCATCTTATTGCTTGAAATGTTCTATCCATTTCAAGTGTTGTGTATGTACTCAATGACGGAGTCATAAATTTTTTTCAGCTGGAACCTAAATTTTTTATTTTTTACAAAATTTCTCTCAAAATTTTCATCCGGACTTGGACCAGCATAAGCAATTTTAAAACAACAAATGCTATACACACGAACTGTAAACACGGGTAGGAGGAAATCCTGCGACAATTAGTAATATGAATTTTCTTCACATTATCTCAAAATGAATCGCAAACTCATGTATGTCGTTTGCCAATTGCTCCACCCGAACACCAAACATGGTTTTATATTCCCGCCGTGAATAGTAATATTTGCATCGCACTAATCACCAACGCAATTTTTTTTTTTTTTGGAAAATTCAAAAAATTCACTTATTAAGTGCAGGTTGTTTTAAGAAAGAATATATACAAACTGTTTTTTTTTTTTTAATATAATTTTAAGAAATGGAGTTCGGTTGGAAATAAGTTACTGTATTTTGAAATGTAAAATGAGTTTTTCGGTTGGAGATGCCCTAAGCACAAACACATCCAAAGTCTCCTTACCAATGCAAAAATGCTGTACACCAATGTGTATGTTTGTGCTGCTTAAAGAAAGCTCTCATTGATATCTTACAATATGTGTCCCTCATTTGGCCAAATGTTGCATTCATTTTTAATCAACTTTCTAAAGCTCTATTTGAGGAACTTTTATTAGGTCCGGTATAAGGACGTAGAGGAACGTCTGGTTGGAGGCAAAATCCCGCTAAAAAACTCGGTATTTGCACGGTATTGCTAGGTATTATTTGATAATAACGAGGAATACCGCTCTGTGAAGACCAATACCAAGTTATACCGAGCTATGCCGACCAATACCGAGTTGTAACGAGTTTTTTCTAGGTAAAACTCGGTACAACTTTTGTATAACTCGGTATTGCTCAGTATAGCTCGGTATAACTCGGTATTGGGTCTTCACGTGATGGTATTCCTCCTTATTGTTTGGTATTGCTCGGTATTTTTCATTTTTTGTCGCGATTTGACCTCTGACCGGACGTTCCTTTAGGTCCGGTCGGAGGACGTAATAATTGTTCCTATTTGAGATTGCTGTAATTTTTTTTTTCTAAAGATGATTGTAAAATAGATGTTGAGAAAGCAACTTTTTTTAAATATGCTGTAAAAACAGCATTAAAATTTTCATTGCGGTCTAAGATTAGAATCCCTCGCTCCAAATGCGGAAAAAAAAATTTCTTGCACATTTTGGTGTTTCTTTTTATGTATATAAGAATGATTTTATAATGGAATGAAACAAAAAATTTGATCATGGTGAAGTAATGGTGCATTAATCGTCAACATTTGAAGAAGCTTTTGTCGGCCCTATAGCGATATAGTGAAGGATACAATAACTTTTTCTAATAATATAAAGGATGGTGGCATTATCAGCTCACATGGATAAGACAAATGCCCTAATCAATCATCCTTGCAAGATTCATAAAAAAGATTGTCATTGAACCCTACCATTATTGGGGATGTGGAGCAAACACCACAAGGAAGAAACAAATAAGAAAGTAAAAGTAGCGGAAAAAGAAAAGACATCATGATTTAGCAACGTGAAAAAACTCAAAATGTGAAAAAGTCACTGAGCCACACTGCATCAATATATCCATTGTAAAAATTGGAAGATATAAGTACAGATCTCTCTTTGCTCTCACTTTTTCTTTGCTTCTCTTCTCACATGCATTGTTCTCATTGTCTAACCTTACAAGAAATATAAGAGAAAGCCAGTTATAACCACCAAGGGATGTAAACCTAGAGAAAAACGTGAAAGAAAATTGTCAAGATCGTTTTGCAGCGCTACAACGCCAGTTTAAGGCATTACGTCGCTCAAGCCCCTGTCTGATGAGTTTGGGTGCTGAAACTTGCAACGTTGCGGCACCGAATCCAGAGCGTTGTGCTGCTCTGCTCTCTATCGATCAGTGCTAAGGTACTCGGGAACACAACGCCAAGGCGCTAGGGTACACAGCACCAGGGCTTTGCACCCAATCCCAAGCAGAGGATAAACCCCTCGCACCCCCCAGCAAGCACGACAAACTTGAGATTAGAGGCAATAGAATAACTTGATTGATCAAAACAATATGATTCCACATATAACAAATATTAGGTTAATTCTGGAAGATTGTCATTTAGATCTTCCTATTTTTATTGCGTATTATATAAGGTCGGTCGTGACGGCAGGTAGTAACTGTGATCGATAATAATGGTGATGATGATGATCGTTAGCCAGCGATGTGAGGCAACATTAAAAAAAAAAGTACCTAAAATCACCTAAAGCTATTTAAGTATTTTAAAAAACAACTTTTTTTATATAAAACAAAAAACAAAACAAAATTAGAAAATAAAAACAAACCCAACTTGTTATTCAAAAAATAATAATAAACTGAAAGTCATCCCGAACAGTCTCTATGCTGTTACAGCTCAAACCAAATATAGTTAGATAGTTATAGAGTTCTCATTTTTTACAGCTTAGACAACTCCTAAAATTTTCAGTACCTCTGTTCTTGCTGACAGTGTCTTCTTTCTGTTTGAGCGTTCAATCTTGTCTTCCTTTGCGTCTCCCGCGGCATCTTGTTGAATAACCCCACAGTACTCTTTATTCATATTCTTATGCTCTTCCACGCATTGTTTCTGCACTGCAATGTGTTCCAGCAATATATGCCTTATCGTAACAAAATTCTACATTACAATACGTTCATTAAACCGCACCTTCCCTCTGTAATTTTTTTTTTTTCCATTTAGGCCAATTAAATTAAATACACTCATACGCAATGCTCTAATTTAAAACCTCTTAATTGATAGTCAAAGCTTTCAACCAAGAGAGAAATTATTCTATGAGGAGTCCGGACAGGAAGAACCATCCGGACAATGTGTGTACAAAATTTGATACATTGTGTACACTCCCATGTTCGGACGATTACTTCTGACCGGACTCTGCACATAATAATTCTACAACCAACATAACACGAAGAACTGTATTTTTCTCTCTACTTTACGGGGATTGCAAAACATACCAAGTATAAATAGGTCTAAAATTTTTCTGAGGGATAAAGATGCAGCTCAGAAGCGAATCAGAACTCACCACGTAACATGTTTGTTGTGTACCGCTGTGACATGATGTGTTCTAATTTGTCTCCAGACGATCCCGTGTTCGCATAGAATAGTTTCTCTATATATTTATTTTCCGATGAAGTAAAATAAAAGGAATACAATTTCCTAATAAATTCAGCATTAAGAACTCAGAATAAACTTCCTTTTAAAACTCACCGGAAATATTAAATGCAAGGTTTGTTAAATACACTTACCAAATTTTACATTAATCATCTTACTAATTTTAGAAGAAAATTAGAAGGAATTAGAGACAAAACAGGCAATTTCCTCCTATAAAAACCGGAAACTTCTCTCTATTTTTAAAGTGTCAAGGAGAAGAAAAGAACAGCTCCTCGCAAATTCTTGAGAGAAAGCCAGCCATGAATCTCTTCTGGATTTGTCTTTCCTTCCTCTTTCTCTCGGTTGTTCGGCTTAATGGTGCCGACAATGGAGGATGGGATACAGCCCATGCGACCTTTTATGGCGATATGGGTGGCGGTGAAACCATAGGTTAGTTCCATTATTACATATCAGCTCTTCTGCTGTAAACTTATGCGTGCATGAGTTTCTCTTATGTAAACATTACATGCAGAGAACATTACAAATAAAAATATAGCAGCAGCGGAGAGAAGTTTTGTGTTCAGTTTATTTATTTATTTATTTAAGATTTGTGTTCAGTTATATTACCATCCCGTAATGATCTTTATATTTATTACAAATAAAATTTGATCTCTGTTATATCCTCTAACAGTGTACGTGGAGTTTGAATTCAATTTTAATTTTTAAAATTATTTTTCAAGAAGGAACAAAACTGATTTTTTTTATATTATAATCTATAATTATTTTGATCTTTAAGAAGAAGTTAAGTGAACATTTTGATCTTGTTTCTCATTATTTATCATATTTGTATAAAAGTATACTAGCAAATCAAAGTACAATAATTATTCATTAATGTTCATCAAGGATTTTTTATTTTTTATTTTTGGAAAGAATAAACTTAAGTAATTTATAAGGTATCTAATATCAAAATATCAATAATAATTTTCAATATTTTTATTAATTAAGTTATTAGTTAAGAATAAAATTAGAACATATTTACTTAAATTTTTTGTGAGTTTAAATTAAATATATCACAATGAGACTCAAAATTTTTAGATTTATTTTGAAATTTATGTAATATTAATAATCAATATAGTGTGATAATTTTAAAGCACAATTAAAGACTTTAACGCCTATAATAATAAAAATTTTGAAAGGAATATTCTAATGAAATCTTTTTTATTTTAAAAATATTATCAATATTTTTCAATAAATATTTACAATTTTAAATCCTAAAATCTCAAAGATTACATCATAACTTATATTATTTCTATAAAACTAAAATACCTTGCATCAACAAAAACCTCTTATATTCATCCATGCACTTAACCATTATGTCTTTCCCATGCAGGTGGAGCTTGCGGATACAGCGATTTATTCTTGCAAATCTACGGCCTCAAAACAACCGCTCTAAGCACCGCCCTGTTCAACGGCGGCGCCACCTGCGGCGCCTGCTACGAAATCCAATGCTTCAACGACCCCCAGTGGTGCGCTCCCGGCTCCATCATCGTCACCGCCACCAACTTCTGTCCTCCCAACTACTCCAAACCCTACGAAAATTGGTGCAACCCACCCTTAAAACACTTCGATCTCTCCATGCCGATGTTCGTCAAGATCACAAAGGACTATCACGCCGGCATAGTTCCCGTCCTATTCCGCCGCGTCACCTGCAGCAGAAAGGGCGGGATAAAGTTCCAAATGAAAGGGAATCAGTGGACGCCATTTGTGGTTGTGTTTAATGTCGCTGGGGATGGGGATGTGACGGCTGTTTCCGTGAAGGCGGACGGGGGTGGATGGACGGCGATGATCAGGAATTGGGGGCAGGTTTGGCAGACGTCGGAGAAGTTGGTGGGAAGGAGTGTTTCGTTTTCGGTGACGACGAGTGATGGGAGGACGGTGCAGTCTTTGAATGTGGTGCCGAGGAACTGGCGTTTTGGTCAGATTTTTGAGGGGAACCAGTTTTAGTGTTCAGGTAGAATAATAATTATTTATATGTCTACATGGAGATGAAAGTATGTGTGGTGTATAGCGAGAAATTATTATGTTCGGACGCCCAACTTAGTTTATCGTTTGGAGGCCAATCAGAATGTTCAACGTCAGCAGTATTAAGCACGGTACCGAACGAGGTACCGAGCTGCCGTACCGAGCGGGGGTGACATGGCGCTTTATAGTTGGTCTATGAATGATTTTCGGCATTAGCACAGAATAATTTGCCGATATATAGCGCCGGGGCTCATTGTTTTAATGCCATTTTTTTGTGGTATGTACTGGAGCGTGTCATTTTTACTTAAAATTATAGCTTATTCGCTCAAGTTTTTAAAATAATATAATTGTATGATCGTATGGTTAATAATCATATTTTTCTTATTGTTTTGTTTTTTAAATCGTAATTTTTCTTGAGAATTAAGGGACAGTCAGCATACTGACTCACACACGCAACATAAGCATTACCCAAACTCAAGACCTCTTAGTTGATAGCCAAAACACATAACCAACAGATCAAGTAGGGTTACGTTTTTAGATCGTAATCATTACTACTTTCAAGTTATTTTTATGTTTGGAAACTAATTTTTACATCATATTTAAAAAAATTATTTCACCACAACTAATTTATAACTATCTTTATAATCTTCCCAAACAGTTCCTTAATTTGTGAGAAATTATTCTGTGCGGACACCGGATGGTCTGGATGTCAATCAAAACACGCCACGTCACCCGGTGCCCAGCGGTACCCAGCACTAGTGTTGAGCATAAAAATGTCGTGACACGTTCTAGTTGATCTCCGGATAACGTCAGGTGTCCGCACATAATAATTTATCTTAATTTGTTACTAGGATGCATAGACTAATTACTAAAAAAATCACAAGTTTGAGACCTTTGATATGATGTGTACATGTGTGGTATAAGTAGACAATTTAAAGAGGGCATTTTTTGTGTATCAAGTCGTGGAAGATATAGCGAGAAAGCAATTGAATTTAATTAGTTGAGTCAAAAAGAGAAAGAATTAGAGAAGCGGCTGAGATCAAGGGGGATATGAGGAAATTGCGCTATAAATTTAATGAAATCAATTGAATTTTTTATGATTACTTTTATTGTACCTGCATTAAATACATGTGAATAAAATTTTATAAATAAAAAAGATATTATTAAAATTTTAATAATATTTTGTTTTATAAAAATTTAAAATAATTAATTTATTCCTATAAATAATATTAGTAAATCGCTCCACATGGCCAATCTCTCCTCCGCTGCTGATTTTTCACCTCTTTCATCCAAGAGTGTTGTGCCTTCTTCCGCTCCTGGTATAAGCTACAACAACATTGTTTCTTCCCCTCGCCCTAGGAATGCTTTCTCCCTTTATTCTCCACCCTCTTTGGATGGTCCTCTGGATTTCAACGAAATCCATATCAAAGCTGCGAAGGATGAATGGGGTATGTTGTTTATAGGCTACTAAATCGGTCGTCGACCGTATTATGAATCGCTTCTTTCTGCTATCCGTAAGGTTTGGAAACTGAAAGGTACGATGAAACTACTCTCCCTTAGCAATGGATTTTTCATGCTAAAATTTTCGTCTCATGAAGATTATGATATGGCGCTTGCGGGTGGTGTCTGGTTTTTTCTCGGTAAGCCATTTGTGTTGCAAAAATGGGTTACCAATTTCAAACCGGTTAGAGAGGAATTTGCTTCTATTCCCATTTGGTTCAAAATCCTTGATTTGCCTTTGCCATGTTGGACACATGACAGGATTTCTCGTATTGCTTGTAAGGTTGGTACTCCATTAGCGGTGGATGATCTGACGGCAGAGAAAACTAGATTGACTTATGCTAGAGTTTGTGTTCAGGTATCAAAAGATTGTGCCTATCCTTATACAATCCCTATCTCCATTATGTGTGAACCTTTTGTCTTAAAGATACAATATGAATGGAAGTCGGTTCCTTGTGAGCAATGTGGTTCTATTGTGCATACACCCGAATTTTGTCACTCCAAACCACCTACTCCTCCGTCCACTTCTCAGCCACCTTTGCGCGAGAGAAGTTTAAGCCGAAAGCCCCCCGACCTGCTACTAGAAATTCAAATTCTCAGCAGCCTCAACTTCCCTCCCCTCCTATTTCCACTCCCGCTCAACAACCTCATTTTAACTACCCCTCCACCCAACCACAACCTGCTGCACCTGACACCCCTCACAATCCACAGTCGCCTGCTGTTGTAATTCCTCCCCCTCCCACTTCTCTAGAAACGCAACACATTACTATTACAAATTTAAACTCTCCTTATGAAGAGTTAATAGCTTCTAGCATTGCCAATTCATCCAAACAGAAGGATAAAGTTCTCTCCTAATAGATTTGAAATTCTTCAAGATAGCATTAATGAGGTGATGCCAACTCCTGCTCCATCCTTGCTTCAGAAATTGAGTCGAAATCCCACACCAACCCATTCAAAAGCTTACAGGAGCAAGCAAGCAAAAAAAAAAACTCCTACTCAAACTTCAAAGTCTCAATGACTCTACCCCATCTGGCAGCTTTGAATACGAGAGGTTTCAATAGCCCGGATAAGGTTAGGGCTTATAAAGGTTTAGTTCGCAGTCACAAATTAGAATTAATTGGTGTTTTGGAAAACATGATTCATGAGAATAGTTTCTCAGACCCTTGGTTTCGCTTCAACCACCGTATCTTTTATTATGAGGAAAGCTGTCACAATTTCGACTTATCTAATTCGGGCAGAATTTGGATTAAATGGGATCCCCGACCGATTTGGTTCAATTTAAACCATCCTATATATCTACTCAATTGATTTCTGGAGAATTTAAAAAGGGAAATAATTTTATTTACGAACTATCAATCAATTGTTTATGCTTCTAATATGCAAGTGGACATAATCAAACTTTGGGATAGCCTTAGAGATATTGGGCCTAACATCAACACTTATTGGATTGTCCTTGGAGATTTCAACTGTTGCTTGCACCCATCTTAAAAATCTGGAGGAACTCCTCTTCTTTCCTCTGATTTATGGCATTTCAAATCCCTAATTTTTTATATGGGTCTATTGTATTTGGCTTCCACTGGCCTAAAGTTCACCTAGTTTATGCTAAACTTTGGCTCTGATCATCATTCACTTGCTAAATTTTGGAATGAACTAGGAAGCACTTTAACCAAAGAGCTAATGACCATATACATTTGAAGTTGAATAGAATGTTGATTAATGACAAGTGGCTTGATACTTTCCCTAATTCATTCTATGAAGTGCTTCCTCCATTATGCTCAGATCATTCACCTATCATTCTGTCTAATGGTCAACTTTCAAGGGTGAATCATAAATTTCTTTTCAAGAATTTTTGAACAAAGTAAGACAACTATTGGTCTAACTGAAGCAACATCAATCAACATCCTGATATTTATCTATTCGATCAAAATTGCACAGAACCCAAAATAACCAGTAGAATCGTTACAGAAAATATTCAAAACGTGTAGAATAATCATATCAATAACATATCAAAAGTTGTGCGGTGAAAGTTTCGTCAATACAAAATGCGGCGCGTTTATCGGTAACGAAAACACAAATCTGTGCACAAAACGACCAAAATTCAACATCTTAGAAAACAGAAATAGGATTCAGAGTCCTTACCACGAGATAAACAAATTGCTCAACAGCGGCGACGGACGAAAAGCGCTCCGCGGCCTCCGAAAACCAGCTTTTCCTTTGCTTTCCTGCTCTTTCTCTTTCCTCACATATTTTGATTTTATAAAATGAAATTTCTCTCTTCTCAAATCGAGCTGATTTCCTTATAACATCAGTCTGATCGGCCCGGCCGATCGCCACATCGTCCAGGACGATGTGAACAAAATCCAATCGTCCAGGACGATATTTCAGGCCGATAATTAATTTGCCAAAAACCCTTGCTCTCGGGATTTTGTCATGCACTGATCGTCCCACGACGATCCCAAATCGGCCTGGACGATCCTGGGAGGAAAAAATCAGATCCAAAAAAAAAAAAATCAAAGGAACGAGCTCTCACAAAGGCGCTCGGGTACATAACATTGAGGCTTTGCACCCGAAGCCAAGCAAGTGAACCCTCCGCACCCCCTAGCAAGCACAACAAACTTGAGGTTCGAGGCAATATAACAACAAAATTGATCAACACAGTCAGATAATTTCACACATAACAACTATTAAGTTAATTTCAAAAGATTATCATTTAGATCTATATTTCTATTACATATTATATAAGGTCGGTTGTGACGGCAGGAAGTAACTGAGACCGACAATAACGATGATGATGATGATCGTTAGCCAACGATGTGCGACAGCATTATTAAAAAAAAAAAAGAAAACACCTAAAATCACCTAAAAGATATTTTAAGTATTTTAAAAACAACTAATTTTATTTAAAAAAAAAACAAAATTAGAATATAAAAACAAACCGAACTTGTTTAAAAAAAAAAAACTGAAAGTCAACCCGAACTGTCTTTAAGCAAAAAAATAAATTCTCCAACTAACATAACAGGAAGAGCTGCGTTTTTTCTCTCTACTTTACCAGGATTTAGAATAAATTCAGCATTAAGAACTCAGAATAAACTCTCTCTTAAACCCCACCGGAAATGTTACATGCAAGGTTTGTTAAAAACACTCTACCAAATTTTACATTAATAATCATACTAATTTTAGAAAAAAAAAATGTAAGAAGGAATTCGAGACAAAACAGGCAATTTCCTCCTATAAAAACAGGAAACTTCTCTCTATTTTTGAAGTGTGAAGGAGAAGACAAGAACAGCTCCTTCCTCGCTAATTCTTGAGAGAAAGCAAGCAAGCCATGAATCTCTTCTGGATTTGTCTTTCCTTCCTCTTTTTCTCGGTTGTCGAGCTTGTTGTTGCCGACAATGGAGGATGGGATACAGCCCATGCGACCTTTTATGGCGATATGGGCGGCGGTGAAACCATAGGTAATTAGTTCCATTATATATCAGCTC